AAATAAAAAAATTGTTTCTATAATATTTGCCTTTGCTATTGTAGATGGTTAAAAACAAACAATATCTTTCATTTCTTTTCTATATTTCAATATCTGAGCACTATTTTACTTTATAACATTTAATTGCAGATATTTTTAAAGAAAATTCATATTATCATTTTTACATTAAACTTAACAATGCATATCTTGTGATTTATACGTTAATACATTTTGAGTCCGACATTAAAATATTTTTTTAGTTAATAGTAATTCTAATTCCCGTAACATATTCGATTTCATGTCATTGGTGAATCGTGTGTTATAAAATATTTTAATAATTTAAAATATTTTATAAATTTACGTTAACATTTAAATGAAAGTATTACATGAAATGTATCTTTTCCTATGTACAGATGAACGATGATAACACTGATAGTTCAAATGCTGCAACGAATGCTGCTGCGAATGCTGAGGTAGGTAATAAGACACTTATTTTATACTTAAATAATAAATGGTAATGCGTGTTTTCTTGCATAGGGTGAACAGATTAAGGAGGTTATGCCTGTTTTGAAATTGGAGACAACGGTAGTGTATTCTTAAATTATTATATTTAATTTAAAATTAACAAAGGCTTCTTACACAATAAAACACGAATTTAAAATGGTATGTTATGAATGATCTGTAGAGTATTATCACTTCACAATTCAAAGAAATGTTTAATTAAGTACGAAATGCTGAGCTTAAAAAGTTCCATGCTGTTGTAAGCTAATTTGTCTTTATTACCACATATGCTATCATAAATATAATTGCATTTTACTTCACTTTCTATTAACATATGCAAGGTGGTCCACCTAGAACAGGTCACTCAATTATCGTTTCTACTTGTGACTATACATATAAGAAATATCTCTTGTGTGCTGAATGCTATCAAGAGACAAATCAAAGGAAAAAGAAATTTTATTATAGATACAATTTTTTACATGTATGCATATAATTTTTCTGATGTATGTTACAGCTAATATAAATGTACAATAGTATGGACTTCGAATGACTTCGGTCTCATCTCTCTCTCTCAATTTTGAAACTATTTTAATTTTAATATCTAGACTTTAAAGATTTGAAAGCCAGTTCGTTTTAGGTGAAACACCCTCCATCTATAATATAAACGGAAAATATATATATCTGTAGTACAATTATATGTTCGTATTTTATTGTGCACAGAGTCTATGAATAGAAATGTTTATTTTTACGTCGTCACTCGCAGGAAGAGAAAAATAGTGAAACCAAAGAATCATCATCGGATGCTCAAAAACGAAGCTCGGCGAACTCAAATATGAAAACTACAGAATTTTGTACAATTTTCAGCACAATCACGTCCATCTTTGTTTCATTCACCCTTGCTTCCTAAAAATATCTTTGGCGTCAATTTTTACACGGGATCTCGACCATTTTCTTCCACGAAAGCTGCGCGAAATTTTCGTTGAGCAAAAACGATATCGATGATATCGAAACGATAGCACGTGCATTATTAAGCCTCGCTGGTTTTTGCTGAATACATCAATGAAATATGCAAATAATAATTTCGCAGACGATCACGTGCTTTTGAGTTAATAAAGTTGATACTGTTAATAAAAGCCTGTATGTATCATTTTCGAGCACATACAGTCGGTACTGCAGTAAGTGCAATTTAGAAAATTCGCAGAAGCTTCGCAACGACAGTGAACAAGAACGATTACATAAATTAATTCAGAATAGGGGTAAATATTTCAATCGAATCGGAAATAACAATAATTATAATGGACCTTTTGTAATTGTACGATACGTGATTTGTAAATTTATAGTGAAAATAAAAGGATCATTTAAATAACAAATGTTTACTATAAAATTTATGCGATTATAGACTAGTTTTACGCACTTAACAATTAAACATTTTGTTACTTTTATTTGAAATGTTTGTTAATATTAGAATAATATATTTTAACAATATTTCACCTATACGTGCCATAAGTTCGATACAGAGAAGGGATTACTATTTCATTCTTTATTCACTATTTCTGCAACAAGAAATTATAAACTAATAACAGTAAACACTCGACGATGTAACTTCATGCACTAAAAAATTAAATATTTTGTTTTCTTTATTTATGCTAATTACGGAAAATATATTTTATTACTATTTCAGTTAGTATCTCTTTCTTCGTTCACTATTTCTACAACGAGAAATTATAAACTAATAACAGTAAACGCTTTAATTAAGTAACTTGCTGCGTAGATGATACAATAGAAGTTTTGTTCACCAAAAATGATTTCTAACTGATCCAGCAACGCGCATAAATTTACACGTACGCAACGTAACTGTAACACTGGTTTCGAATGTAGAGCATTTTGATGATTATCAAGGTAAAAGACGATGCACCTCACGCAGTTACTCTACTTCCTGCTCTGGAATTATATAATTGACCGATTTCAAAAGTTTCTAAAATTTGTGGGCTGCTACCACTTTCGCCACTGATCACTGAATCATCCTTTGTGCTGTTTACTTTGTTACTGCGTCCATTATGCTTTCGAGACACAGAAAAATATCGCATTCCTACAATTAAAGAATATCAGTGTTCGTATCATTCGGCATTTTAATTCGGAACGTTAACAAATTTATTCGTAGAATGAACCGACACTTTATTTGTAGAATAAATTGACACGTTGTTTACACGAGGAACTGAACAGAGATTTATACGATGAGGCTCGCAGCAGAGACAGGTAATCGAAAAAACATAGGCAAATAAAGGTAGAAAATCGCAAGTAATCGTTGCGATGAAAATAGTATAAGAGAGCAAATTAAAAGTTGAATTAGAAAATTCTCGGAACCGATTGAAGTGTGATCAATATGTATAGTAATGTAATAGTGATAAGTCATTGGGGTGCGTTGGCCAGTTCACCTAAATTGTTTACCTTCTCCTCGGTAATACTACTACAATGCACTTTATCGTTTCATAGAATTTCATACGCTTAATATCTTTCCAATACCGTCGTTGCACCTTCTCCGATGTTGTAACTTTCTTGCTAATTATGTCCCAAGTACCATTATGTCGCAATCTGATCGGTAATCGCATTAGCTTCCAGAATAGAGAACTTTTTATTTTATTTAGTTTGGATTCGTTAAAGACTTTATCCACGAAATCACCGATCGTATATCAGATCACGTGTATTATTTTTATATTTATCTATAATCATCCCCTTAACAGATTCCTATAAATTCCTTATTATGCTATGGAGAAATCAATAATAGAGAGTCGCAGTATTTCATAATGGTAATTCGGTGCAATTACTTACGTGTGAAGAAATATTAGGCGTATATCTCTTATTGCTTTTCTGCACTGTGAAAATATATATTATATTATATATCGACAACGTCGCGTGTTAAGGAAGAAAAACTAAACACTTTAATGAATTTTACGTAATTGTGCATGTCTCAAAGACGCGAAAAGCACTTCATTTTTAAGCACATCTAAGCTAAATATGAACAGTCTCTGTCAAGTAGTTGGAATTTTCAGTAAGAATCTGTTGACCTTTCTGTCATGTTCGCAGTTACCATCGTCTAGTGTATACTAAGTCCATTGCAACACAAAACTTATATAATATATAAATGTTTATACTACTTAGTAACTATAATAACAGCAATCAATAATTAAAAAATGACAGGCGTAACATTGCACTGGATAAACATCTAGCGTTCGTTGGCCAATTCTAAAGGATTTTCCAAATTTTCCAAAACTGGTTTTGGAGATGACTGAAAGTGTCATTGACTGAAATTTTTCGTTATTTTATTATAAATATGAATATAATATATATATAAATATGAATCACACATTCATTAAAAGAAAAATGCTTTTTGAACGAGTATCACCGAGTCGAAAAGCATTATTATGTATCCTAAATTATTAACGTTAAACGCCATGCAAGTACAACGTTAAAGTAAAATGAATAAATTTCAAGTTGTCATAATAAAAGTAAGTTTTGGCTACGTTTTATAGATTACTCGATCAATTTACTGAACAAGAACATAACGGTTTTATTACATTTTTATTAAGAGTTTCACTTTTACTCGGTTTTTAAGAAATGTGTACTTGCTACATACGTGAATGCATCGAAATAATATATTCGACGTATTATGTCATATACATATAATCGAATGGTAAATAATCGAAAGTAAAGGCCCGGTATACGGAGATAGGATGATTCAGGAAACTGTACAGAAAAATAACAGAATTACCAAATTTTGTAATATAGTTAACGATAAAAAAAAACAAAAAATACGTACACAATTGTAAGAATACCTTGATATCGAAAATGATTGACTCTAATTGTTTATGAAACGAAAGATAAACCATTTTTCGACGACAGTGACAAAGAACACTTAATTCAGTACATAATCTTACAATTTTTCGAGAATTTGAAAAAAAGAATATTCGCAGAAATTGATATTTCGTTTTTAAATAATAGTAAAATCTTATGGGTACTCATTTACTAAATTTCGTCTATCTTAGCGTGTTTTTCTAAAAATTACACATAATCGTTTGTTTTTCCTTTGACTATTATTAACATCA